AAGTGTTTGATGTCATGAGACATATCTTAAGGGACATTGTATCTTGTGAAGTGTTTGATGTCATGATGCATAACTTAAAGGACATTGTATCTTGTGAAGTGTTTGACGTCATGAGACATATCTTATGGGACACTGCAACTTGTGAAGTGTTTGATGTCATGAGACATATCTTATGGGACACTGTATCTTGTGAAGTGTTTGATGTCATGATGCATAACTTAAAGGACATTGTATCTTGTGAAGTGGTTGATGTCATGAGACATATCTTAGGGGACACTCTATCTTGTGATACGTTTGATGTCATAAGACATATCTTATGGGACACTGTATCTGGTGAAGTGTTTGATGTCATGAGACATATCTTAGGGGACACTGTATCTTGTGAAGTGTTTGGTGTCATGAGACATATCTTAGGGGACACTGTATCTTGTGAAGTGTTTGGTGTTTGGCACACTTGACAATGAGTCTCAGTCCTTGTTGCTCCATGGTTTGGCAACCCCAACATCGGTTATGTTGACAGATAGTCTGCCCAGAGATTGGAAGGTTGGTGGTTCAATCCCTGGCCGTGTCATACCAAAAGATGGTACTTGTTGTTACCCTGCCTTGTGATCATCATTAAGGGGATAAAACTTGTTAGCTCAGGGTCTGTATCCAGAGTCTAAGAAGGGTATCCATGTTAAAACTGGTACGATCTCGCAAACACACATGCACACGTACACACACTCGCACGCGCACGCACACACACACACACAATGCAATAATATTGACCGCTACGTTAACCGCATTTCACTTGACCTAATTGCATTGCCTGTTATCAGGTTACCGGGTCAAAACAGGACCCCAGTATCTCCGGCCTGTAAGACCTGTCACCAATGCGGGTGGAGTAGTTGGGTTCTGTGGCTCGGCTGTTATCCCTATCAGGGCACGTGGTCAGAACAGGTCCCCAGTACCTCTGGCCTGTAAGACCTGTCTCCAGTGAGGGTGGAGTAGTTGGGTTCTGTGGCTCGGCTCTTATCCCTATCAGGGTACGTGGTCAGAACAGGTCCCCAGTACCTCTGGCCTGTAAGACCTGTCTCCAGTGAGGGTGGAGTAGTTGGGTTCTGTGGCTCGGCTCTTATCCCTATCAGGGTACGTGGTCAGAACAGGTCCCAAGTACCTCCGGCCTGTAAGACCGGTCTGACTTATATATGAACATATCGGGTGTTGTTTAACTTCTTTTGTGTTGTATATAAGAGGTATGTGTCACTTCTAAGTATATCAGGCCGCCATATTGCTGGAATATTGCTGCGTGCGGCATTAAACAACAAACAAAATCTAAGTGTACAATTAGCGTGTATTGATATAACAAGAATATTCCAAGAGGGTAATCGTTGCAAGAAATATAGATAAAAAATATTACCAGCTTGACATTCAATATAACGGATTCGTTTTTCCTCCAGATTATTGGTCTTTTCAAAAACGTCTTGATGAACGTTTGACAGTATCAGGATTTCTGTTCTTTCAAATCAAAGTAGGGAAATTAAGTGTGACAGAGAAACATCAAACTGCTGACAGAGAAACATTAAACTGCTGACACTCCATCCTTCTTTACAACAGGCAGACTAGGAGAGGGTTGTAAGTCAGAGCTCTTAATCAATGTGCAACAGTGATGTTTGCCTGACAGCCGACTCAGTAATTGAGGAATCAGTCACAGCACTGGAAGTACAGCCAGCAGGCAAGGAAGTACTTTCTGAGAAGAGCATTACTCCGGGACGGGCTGGCCGGAATGCTTTTAACCAGTCATTAGTGAGTGTCGTGATGATGTCAGGAACGTCCTTTGGCGACTGAAGAGCTCAGGAAGATGTCCTCAGCGGCATATACATACATACTTGTCCTCAATGGTCGTGGTGTTTTCCGTGTGGCGGCAGCAATAACACGAACTTGGGGGTCATAATGCAGATGTACATTAATATCCAAGGTGCCGCAGGTCGCATTCTGCTCTGTGAAACCCATAACGTCGTTGCTGACTGACCAAAGGTCATAATGTAGATGTACATTAATATCAGAGTACAAGGTGCCGCAGGTCGCATTCCGCTCTGTAAAACCTATGAAGTCGATGCTGACTGACCAAGGGTCATAATGTAGATGTACATTAATATCAGAGCCCAAGGTGCCGCAGGTCGTATTCCGCTCTGTAAAACCCATGAAGTCGGTGCTGACTGAACAGGGGTCATAATCCAGAAGAAGCGGGATTAAGATCAACCTCGCCACTTGTGTAGGGATGCAATTCTTCAAATCTAGTTGCAGTGCCTTAAACAATTTGGCAATTTGACTTCAAAACCATATTAATATACTATCAGGAGAATGACCATACGTAGGCGTATGAAATTATCATTTTGTCAACGTCATGTGCTATGGCATCAGCCGTAAGCACTTATATGCATCGCAAGCATTTGTATCAGCGGCAGGCATTAAGATCGTCGTGAGCACTACTATCTGTCGTAAGCACTAGCATCTGCCATAAGCACATATATCTGCCGTAAGGACTATTAACTGAGACCCGTGAAGATCGGGGGTAGAATCGGACTTTAGCAAGCCATGCTTGCTGTGAAATGTGACTATGCTTGTCGTAGGAAGCGACTAACGGGATCGGGGGTTCAGGCTCGCTGACTTGGTTGATGCATGTCATCGTATCCCAATTGTGTGGATCGATGCTCATGATATCAATCACTGGATTGTCTGGTCGAGACTCCATTATTTACAGACCGTCGTCATATAGCGGGAATATTGCTGAGTGCGGCCTTAAGCAACAAACAAGCAAACATAAACTCGAGTATCCGTTCCAAGCACTACTGTATGTAGTATGCATTAAATTCTGTCACAGGCAAAATATCCGCCACAAACACAATCACTAGTATCCGTTAAAAACATCATTAACACTACTTTCTATCGCAAACACAATCACTAGTATCCGTTAAAAACATCATTAGCACTACTATCTATCGCAAACACAATCACTAGTATCCGTTATATACATCGTAAGCACTACTATCTATCGCAACACAATCTCTAGTATCCGTTATAATCACTTGTATTCGTCGTAAGCACTACCATCTGTCGCAAGCACTTATATCTGCCCTAAGCACTAGTAATCTGCCATAGGCACTAGTGTCCGTCATAAACACTGCTGTCCTCCGTACGTACTAGTTTCTGTCGTAAGCACTACTGTGTGTAGCAAGAGCACTGGTATCCGTCGTAAGCCCAAGCACCCGCCGTAAGCCCTAGCGGATTATATATCATATATTATATTATATATATATACTATCCGCCGATTCGGATGACACAATGGCGATAGGTTTGCTGTCAGATGCTGTCTGATGTGTATGCATCATCTCATTACCTTGCCTTTCCATCAAGCATATCCTCATCTAACAACAACCCACTAGATCTAACCCTGGACACCCAGTATGTTAGATCATAACTTCATTGTGCCAGAAGGTTTAGATTCTGTCTCTTCATTTCTGTTGTTGAAGTCATATCAAAGTCAGGATTTAATTCTCGATGTTTTGTAAACGCCGCAGAACTGAAAGCAGACATGATTGAAAAAAGAGTAATTGGATTTCATTTCAAATGTTTTTTGTAAAGATTTTCTTTCTTGGCCATCGTAATGTGAGTTATTAGACATGACGTGTTTTCAGGTCTCCTTTCTGCCTGGAGAGAGATACTTCATTTTGTCGATGCATATTGCTTGACAGAAAATTCTGTCAAGAAATGTAATTCGTGTGATTGAGCGAAATAGCATTCAAGGCTGGTTTGGATCAAAGACATTCTGTTTGTGCACATCAGACTATTTGCTGATAGATCAGATGATTAGTAACATAAGAATTCAGATTATGTTCAAATGGTGTCTCAGCTATATGCCACTTGACAATACAAGGCAGGTTCCAGGACTGGACAATACAACGCGGGTTCCATGACTGGACAGTACAACGCGGGTTCCAGGACTGGACGATACAACGCAGGTTCCAGGACTGGACAGTACAACGAGGGTTCCAGGACTGGACGATACAACGCGGGTTCCAGGACTGGACAGTACAACGCAGGTTCCATGACTGGACAGTACAACGCAGGTTCCAGGACTGGACGATACAACGCGGGTTCCAGGACTGGACAGTACAACGCAGGTTCCAGGACTGGACAGTACAACGCGGGTTCCAGGACTGGATAATACAACGCGGGTTCCAAGACTGGACAGTACAACGCGGGTTCCAGGACTGGACGATACAACGCGGGTTCCAGGACTGGACAGTACAACGCAGGTTCCATGACTGGACAGTACAACGCAGGTTCCAGGACTGGACAGTACAACGCGGGTTCCAGGACTAGACAATACAACGCGGGTTCCAGGACTGGACAATACAACGCGGGTTCCAAGACTGGACAGCACAACGCGGATTCCAGGACTGGACGATACAACGCGGGTTCCAGGACTGGACAGTACAACGCGGGTTCCATGACTGTTCAGTACAACGCAGGTTCCAAGACTGGACAATACAACGCGGGTTCCAGGACTGGACTGTACGACGCGGGTTCCAGGACTGGACGATACAACGCGGGTTCCAGGACTGGACAGTACAACGCAGGTTCCAGACTAGACAGTACAACGCAGGTTCCAGGGCTGGACAGTACAACGCGGGTTCCAGGACTAAACAATACAACGCAGGTTCGAGACTGGACAATACAACGCAGGTTCAAGACTGGACAGTACAACGCGGGTTCCAAGACTAGACAGTACAACGCAGGTTCCAGGACTGGACAGTACAACGCAGGTTCCAGACTGGACAATACAACGCAGATTCCAGGACTGGACAGTACAACGCAGGTTCCAAGACTGGACAGTACAACGCGGGTTCCAGGACTGGACGATACAACGCGGGTTCCAGGACTAGACAATACAAGGCAGGTTCCAGACTGGACAGTACAACGCGGGTTCAAGGACTAGACAGTACAACGCAGGTTCCATGACTAGACAGTACAACGCAGGTTCCAGGAGTGGACAGTACAACGCAGGTTCCAGGAGTGGACAGTACAACGCAGGTTCCAGGACTGGACAATACAACGCAGGTTCCAAGACTGGACAATACAACGCGGGTTCCAAGACTGGACAGTACAACGCAGGTTCCAGGACTGGACGATACAACGCGGGTTCCAGGACTGGACAATACAACGCAGGTTCCAGACTGGACAGTACAACGCGGGTTCAAGGACTAGACAGTACAACGCAGGTTCCAGGACTAGACAGTACAACGCAGGTTCCAGGAGTGGACAGTACAACGCAGGTTCCAGGAGTGGACAGTACAACGCAGGTTCCAGGACTGGACGATATAACGCAGGTTCCAGGACTGGATAATACAACACAGGTTCCAGGACTGGACGATACAAAGCAGGTTCCAGGACTTGACAGCACAATGCAGGTTCCAGGACTAGACAGTACAACGCAGGTTCCAGGACTAGACAGTACAATGCAGGTTTCATGACTGGACAGTACAACGCAGGTTCCAGGACTGGACGATATAATACAGGTTCCAGAACTAGACGATAAAACACAGGATCCAGGACTGGGCAACGCAGGTTCCAGGACCCGGTTGTTTGTCGTAAGAGACGACTAAAGGGATTGGGTGGGCAGGCTCACCGACTCGGTTGATGCATGTCATCGTATCCCTAATTGCAGTGATCGATGGTCATGATCTCAAACACAGGCTTGTCTGGTTCAGACTCGATTATTTACAGACCGACGTCATATAGCTGGAATATTGCTGAGTGCGGCGTTAAACAACAGACCAACAAACAAACAAACCCGGTATCATAATTGTACAGAGACCTCAGATACACGTGGTATGGTGCCAGCAAACCCGGTACCGTATTCCTGGATTAGACCGTCGGATCCTTCCACAATTACAGATTGCAACCCTGTACCATTAAGTCTTCTACCGGGGTCACTGCGTCTTCCTTGTCAAAGTTTATATATTTTGCATGTCATTGTGATAAAAGAATAGAACTTATCACCAACGACACAATAAAATTCTTCTCTAAATATGCAGATCCTGGTTGTATGCGGGTCCATCTATTTACTTCAAATACGAGAAACGTGACATTTAAATACCAGTAAAACATCCCACATAGGATGTAATGGACATTAGCTTCAATCATGTTGTCATTTGACGGCGGCATTATATCTCAATACATCCAATTAGTCTCAGCCAAAACAAGTAATGTTCATTTTATGTGTAGCTGTATAATCAACAAACAGTAGTCTTCATTAAGCGTGTACGTCATTCACAACCATGTATTGTATTCCAATGGTATCTTATATCATGATGCATTGTTGAGAAGGGGTTGGGTGTTTAGTGGGGTTTGTTGTTGGGTAAGGTGTGGTTGTTGAGTGGAGTGGAGATGTTGAGTGGAGTGGAGTTGTTGAGCGGACTGGAGTTGTTGAGTAGGGTGTGGCGTTGAGTGGTGTGGATTGTTGATTCGGCTGAGTTGTTGAGTATGATGTTTTTGTGGAGTAGGGTGAACAGTTTTCTTGAACAAAATGTTTCTTCAGTTATTGCAAGGAATAGGTATTGCCGTAGTTCTCCCACATTAAGATGAAATGTATGCTTAAAACAAAGAGGTGATGTCCACCTACCACGATGCACATTCTGTAAATTGTTTAAGGTAATAAGTGGTCCCTCAATAACCACCAGAGTGACAAAGTTGCCCGTCCAGAAGTCCCCGATATTAAACAGTGTAAATCACAACACTAGTTCAGATTAAAAGCATCTCCAACATTGCCTTTAAGACAAATCCACACTCAAACAATGTGTAATATTGGTTAGCTGAATTATGAGGTAAATTAGTTTTAAAAGGCATAGTAATTGCAGTTTCCACTTAACGCCGTCTTTAATGCTTGGCGTAGATCAGAGGGGCGTGTAGCGTGTGTTAAAGACAAAGTGTCCAATTACCTGCAGTTGTCCCAGTCATTATGACCAGAAGTCCCTTAATTAAGGAGATGTCGCTTTAATAAAGTATTCTGTACGTCCATGTAGGCTGCGTCGTGTCACCGTGCTGTCCCGCACTTCCACATGTCCATACGTAAATCAATATGAACCCCAACATGTAAAAAATAGCGTTTCTGTTAACTTTCAGCGGAGTTTTAATCAAGAATCGTGCTTCATTGATCGCCGGCCTGGACAGGGGGATGATTGCCGTGACCTTGGCGTTCTGACCTTGGCAGATGCCACAAGTTGGATGTACATCACGGATGTAAAGTGATCGTGTCTGTAGTTGTTTTGCATCCATGTTGGCTTCATTTCCATCATTAAGCTGAAATGAAAGTCGTCAATTGTATCATTACATTGGAAGAAACCAGTTCCTTGACATGATTTGATTTCTGATAAAAGTAATTCATTGCATCACAGCTTATTATGATTTAGATGTGAACCTAACTGACCTGCCTTGATGGAGGCATAGTCTTGCCAATGTCAATCTCTATACCTGGTATTGGTTTCTAATTTCATTAAAACAATGTATTTTAAAATAACATATATAAGTTACATAAAAAATATTTGAGTCTGTATTTTTAAGTTGATTTTGGTTATAGCGTGCCCAAAGAGATTTACGAGAAAAGGTATCCACAAACCTGCTTTGGAAAATATAATTAAATTACTGCCAACAGAAGTGATGGCTAGAACAACAATTAATTCCTCAGTGCAACGTTTGAAGATGAGTTTCCATGGCATTGTGTCATGCTTGATTGTTGCGTGTACAGAGAGTTTCGACTGGTCCTTCTTTCTCAAGGCCTGTGTGAGATATCAAATTACACAGCAAATAAGTGATGGAATCTTTCTTTATATGTTTCGACTGAGCTGACAGTAAATATTCTTTTGTTTATTTCACTGTTCTTTACTTTTCCTTAACTTGAGTGAAAAATTGTGGCCATTGAAATTGATATGGATAACAAATTAAGAGATCAATGGTCGTCAACACCCACAACAGTGATGAATCTGATGTACCGATTTCAGCCATTAATGAAGAATGTTAAAAAGGTTAAATGCTTTTGGATTGAGTACGAGTAATTTAAATTGCATAATTCACAAAGTGCATTAAAGGTGACCATAGTTCATCCAAGATTAAATCCCCTTTCTGAAAAGATTGGGATTCCAGGTTTGAACATCCCCATCACTTATTATCCCTACCAAATTGGGATTCAGAGTTAGAACATCCCCGTCACTACTCCTGACTATATTGGGATTAAGGGGTAGAACATCCCTGTCATTAATCCTGACTATATTGGGATTCAAGGGTTAGAACACCCTCATCACTACTCCCGACTATATTGGGATTCATGGCTAGAACATCCCCGTCACTAATCCTGACTATTTTGGGATTCAGGGTTAGAACATCCCCGTCACTAATCCTGACCATATTGGGATTCAGGGTTAGAACACATCCGTCAGAACTCCTGACTAAATTGGGATTAAGGGGAAGAACATACCCGTCATTAATACTGAGTTTACTAGGATTCAGGGTTAGATCATCCCCGTCAGTAAACCTGACAATATTGGGATTCAGAGTTAGACCATCCCCGTCACTCAACCTAACGATATTGGGATTCAAGGGTTAGAACATCCCCGTAAGTAATCCTGAGTATATTGGGATTCAGGGTTAGAACATCCCCGTCAGTAATCCTGACTATATTGGGATTCAGGGTTAGAACATCCCCGTCAGTAATCCTGACTATATTGGGATTAAGGGGTAGAACATCCCTGTCATTAATCCTGACTGTATTGGGATTCAGGGTTAGAACACCCTCATCACTACTCCTGACTATATTGGCATTCAGGGTTAGAACATCCCCGTCAGTAATCCTGACTATATTGGGATTAATGGGTAGAACATCCCTGTCATTAATCCTGACTATATGGGATTCAGGATTAGAACATCCCCGTCATTAATCCTGACCATATTGGGATTCAGGGTTAGAACACATCCGTCAGAACTCCTGACTAAATTGGGATTAAGGGGAAGAACATCCCTGTCATTAATCCTGAGTTTACTGGGATTCAGGGTTAGATCATCCCCGTCAGTAAACCTGACCATATTGGGATTCAGAGTTAGACCATCCCCGTCACTCAACCTAACGATATTGGGATTCAAGGATTAGAACATCCCCGTTAGTAATCCTGAGTATGTTGGGATTCAGGGTTAGAACATCCCCGTCACTACTCCTGACTATATTGGGATTCAGGGTTAGAACACCCTCATCACTACTCCTAACTATATTGGGATTCAGGGTTAGAACACACCCGTCACTACTCCTGAATATATTGGGATTAAGGGGCAGAACATCCCTGTCTTTAATCCTGAGTATATTGGGATTCAGGGTTAGAACACCCTCATCACTACTCCTAACTATATTGGGATTCAGGGTTAGAACACACCCGTCACTACTCCTGAATATATTGGGATTAAGGGGCAGAACATCCCTGTCTTTAATCCTGAGTATATTGGGATTCAGGGTTAGATCGTCCCCGTCAGTAATCCTGATTAAATTGGGATTCAGGGTTAGAACATCCCCGTCACTACTCTTGACCATATTAGGATTCAGGGTAAGAACATCCCCGTCAGTAATCCTGAGTATATTAGGATTCAGGGTTAGAACATCCCCGTCAGTAATCCTGAGTATATTGGGATTAAGGGGTAGAACATCCCCGTCAGTAATCCTGACTATATTGGGATTCAGGGTTAGAACATCCCCGTCACTAATCCTGACTATATTGGGATTCAGGGTTAGAACATCCCCGTCACTACTCCTGACTATATTGGGATTCAGGGTTAGAACATCCCCGTCATTAATCCTGACTATATTGGGATTCAGGGTAAGAACATCCCCGTCAGTAATCCTGAGTATATTGGGATTCAGGGTTAGAACATCCCCGTCAGTAATCCTGACTATATTGGGATTCAAGTAGAACATCCACGTCAGTAATCCTGACTATATTGGGATTCGGGGTAAGAACATCCCCGTCACTACTCCTGACTATATTGGGATTCAGGGTTAGAACATCCCCTTCAATAATCCTGAGTATTTTGGGATTCAGGGTTAGAACATCCCCGTCAGTAATCCTGACTATATTGGGATTCAGGGTTAAAACATCCCCGTCAGTAATCCTGACTATATTGGCATTCAGGGTTAGAACATCCCCGTCACTACTCCTGACTATATTGGGATTCAGGGTTAGAACATACCCGTCATTAATCCTGAGTATATTGGGATTCAGGGTTAGAACATCCCCGTCAGTAATCCTGACTATATTGGGATTCAGGGTTAAAACATCCCCGTCACTACTCCTGACTATATTGGGATTCAGGGTTAGCACATACCCGTCATTAATCCTGACTATATTTGAATTCAGGGTAAGACCATCCCCGTCAGTAATCCTGAGTATATTGGGATTCAGGGTTAGAACATCCCCGTCACTGATCCTGAGTATAT